GCTTTGGAGGACATTGCAAAGTTCGAGAGGAGACGTCTACTGCATTGCAACCACATCCAAACCCACCCAGCTCCAGAAAAGAAACCTTTGGTGGAACGCTACCTCCAAGACTTCGTCCAGCTTCTTCCTCAGGGTAGGAATCTTGCTGACTTTGTATTTCTCGCACCATTCGTCTGTCTTCTTCAGACTCGGCGTCTCCATTGCCAGGTTCAGGTGCCTGACATTCTCCTGAAGCAAATCCGTCGAGAAACTGGAGAGGTTCACATAGTAGTCATTGCTGTCCTTGAGCCAGACGGAGTAGTAATACTGTCAAAGGCAAAAAGAGTCAACGCTCAAGTTGGGCACACTCAGGGGTCATTCCCACATTGTTGGTTTTTAGCGCGGCAATGCAAACAATCACACATTCTGGGTTTCAAACAAAAATCCACCAAACAGGGATACCTTTATTGGCCAACCAAAATGCACAATAGACTTGTTGCAAGCTTTCGAAGCTCCATGGGCTTCTTCTTCATCAGGTAAGATGTTACAAATCAAAGAGGAGAAAAACCATTGGAGATGTTAGTCAGATGCCTACATGTTGTTTCAGTCTTTAGTTAAGATGGTAATAATAATAATAACAAAAATCCATCAGTGATACCTTTGTTGGCCAACTGAAATGCACAATAGACTTGTTGCAAGCTTTCAAAGCTCCATGGGCTTCTTCTTCATCAGGTAAGATGTTACAAACCAAACAGGAGAAAAACCACTGGGGATGTTAGTCAGATGCCTACATGTCTTAACTAAGACTGAAACAACAATAAAATGCTAGTATCTGGAAACCAACTAAAGATGTGGTTACAGGTTTTGAAAAAAGTTGTGGCCACCAGGATAATCTCCAGGGGTGCAGACTGTGTCCCAGTTCTTGGGAATGACATCAAATAACTGTAGGGTAATTTAAGTTTTCCAAGGCTTCAGCCTTTGGTAAGGAAACAAAAATATTTAAATATCAAAAATGTCAAAGCCAAGACTGTTAGGGTCTAGCTTTAATTTGGCAGAGGAGCAGAAATGTGCCTTTGTCTAACTTTGCTTCCCAAAGAACGGAGACTGACTCAAAAACAACAAACACGTAGCGAGTAGTGTAATACAAAAGTTTACTAATGGCTTTAATTTATATTTGCATAAAAGGTTATATCCTAATCTAGCTAGTGAACAGTTCAAGTAAAAAGAAATATTTATTTCACCATCTTTCAAAGAAAAGTTGAGAGAGGAGGAAGATGGAAAACATGCAGTGCAGTGGAAAATCTTGACAGAAAATCTCTGTCTGTTAGTCCCAAAAGGGGAATGACCAAAATGATGTGGTTAGCTTGAATGAGATAGAGAGAGGGGAGAGTTTGCATGCAGGAAATCCCTATCTATCTAAGGAGGGGAAAAGAGAATGCAAAAATTTTCCAATAATAACCCCCCCCAACAAATTTATTGATTATGTTTTCCATGATGAATGAAATCCCACAACAGAAGCGAGGAACCAAATACCTTAATGTCATCCAACAAGCAGCAGACATTGACGCTAGTTTGGTCATAGGTTGTTTGAAGCCTCTTGACAAGGGCAGCATTGGCGGGCAAGAGTCGAGGAATTGATCTGGCCGTCACTGATTTCATCCTGTCCAGTTCGCCCTTTAGATTAAAAGATACTTTTTCAATGTATTTCTTCTTCTTCTCCATTATTGGTAATTTAACTGCCAACTCCTGCAATGAGGGAATAGTGGTCAAACATATACAAC